AATGAAAGTTTACAGAGACTTAGGGTTTCCATTCATTCATTGTTGCACTTAAAATTTTTCTTAAGGCTAGTGGTAGGTGCTAAAATAAAACCAACAAAAAAAAAAGAATACCTTTTAAGAAGGATGATTTCCACCTGACTAAGACTAAAAAGAACTTAACTAATCATAATTTTTATTTATTTGTTTATTTATTTTGATGGTTTCAATTATTTTTCTGTTTTCCATTTCATTTATTTCTTCTCTAATTTTTATAATTTCAGTTTTTGTAGAGGGTGTCAGGTTTTCTTTCTGTTCTTTTTTCCATTTGTTGGACATGTTACATTAGAGAATCAATGGTCATTTTTTCCTGCCTTTTGATATGTTTACTTACTGCTATATATTGACCTCTTATTACTTCTTTGGCTATTTCCCAGAGGTTTTGGTAAGTGGTGCTTTCATGGTCATTTGTTTCAAGAAACTTCTTATTTTTATTTCTTCTAGCACCCACTCATGTTCAAGCAAGGTGTTGTTCAACTTCCAGATGTATGGGGGTTTTTTCTCCTTTATCCTCTTGTTATTAATTTCTAGTTTTGTAGCATTGTGGTCTGAGAAAATGCTTTGTATTATTTCTATACTTTTCAAATTTATTGATGCTTGCCTTGTGACCTAAAATATGATCTATTCTGGAGAATGTTCCATGTACATTGGAGAAAGTGTATTGGTTTTTTGGGGTGCATTAGCCTACAAATATCTATGAGGTCAAGTTGGTTTATTGTGTGGTTTAATTCTTGAGCAACTTTGTTGAATTTTTTTCTGGTAGTTCTATCTTTTCTTGAGAGTGGCATATTGAAGTCTCCAACTACTATAGTAGTGTTTTCTATTTCCTTTTTCAGTTTTGTTAATGTTTGTTTTATATATTTTGCAAGTCTTTCATTTAGTGAATAGATATTTTTTATTGTTATGCCCTCTTGTTTTATTGACACTTTATGCATCATGTAGTGACTTTTCTTGTCCTTTGTGATGATTTTTGCATTGAATTTGTTTTATTGGAGATTAATATTGCTACTCCTCGCTCAGCCTATCTTAAGCTCAAGGAAATGAAGAACAAATTGAAACCTCGAGTTGCTATAATCAAGGACGCTTTTGGCAGAATGTTAAATGATCCAGGAAGTATTAAAAGAAGATGGAAAGAATATACTGAGTCACTGTATCGGAA